TCTTTCCCCAACAACACTGAAATTGTCTAGCGACAACGGCAATCCCACTAGTTTTGATCTACCAATTACAACTGCAAGTGTAAAAAGAGCATTTTCAGCTTTGAGTTATATTAAGAACAAGTTTCCAAGTCGATTTGGCGACCAATTTGCTAATATTTTTTTAGTACGATACATTGAAAGAGACTTATATAATAGTGTAGACAACGAATGTTTTTGCGCTTCTTTCACTATATGAAATTCCTTCGTAGTTGTTTCTGAAAAGTATGATAGTATAATCGGTTATTTTTAATTTAAGAATGAATTATTTGGATATAGTTATTTTTTGTTAAATAATTCTTTTATTAGATACTTATTGCATTCAATCACCCACACAAGCATAATAATAAACTACCCCCCCCCCCAACACTTAATCTCGATATTTCCATCAATGGCGTAAAATAGGTGGTAGAACGATGTTACCGCATGGCTTGGTGAATGAAAGTTGGACAATTTTCTGGGGTAGGATGTTTGAGCTTCAAAGGAAGATAAAACAAAACACAAACATAGGCACATTCTCGCTCGAGGCCAGGTTATTACACATAACAAAGTTTGACATACCAAATCAAAGAAAAGAAAATCTCACAAATTACTAGTTCATACACTAAGGAAAGAAAAAACAAAAACAAAAACAAACAGAGTTCAGAGTTCAGAGTTTCAAGTGGAGAAGTGGGGTGAAAGAAATCGGCTCTGCCACATGTCTCACTCGTCGGCTGCCTCATTGTGGATCAACAATCACTGCTCATGGTCCGAAAGGACGGCTTGGCATCGAGCAATCCTCTCTAGGAGGTCGGTGGATTGGTCGAGCCGAGTGGTGACTCCCACAAACTACTCCTCGAGACGATCCACTAATTGCTCGAGGTGGGCTCCGGAGAAGGAAAGACCCGCCCCGGGTGCTGATAGTGGTGGTGTGGTGCACCGGCGGCGGCCTAGAGCTCTGGTAGGTGGCTGCTCTGGCGGTGGGACCTCTGTATCAGGCTCCACTGGAGCAGGGTCAACCTGTGGCCTTAGAGCGGCCAAATGTCAAAGTCTCTCGAGGAATTCAATCCCTCGCTCTCCCTGGAGCAACAACTTCATGTTGTAGAGTGTCTCCACTGGGAATGGCTCGGTCCGGACGATGATTGAGCACCTCGTGACATCAACCTCGAAGTGTTGAGCTAGCCTCGTGATGATGCCCCCCCAAATGCATCTTATCAACTCGATCTCGCCCCTAGCATCTTGTGAAGGTGGTGGCAACCACTAATCCCAGATGAAGTGGTTCTGCTAGGCGGTTCAGGGTATGACGGGCTATCAACCCTCTGTTAGTGATCATGTGGCCCGACATCAGACTAGGGATGATAGACTTCATCAGAAGTGTGTGCAGGATCCTCCATGACGTCCGAAGCTTCACTGCATTGGTGTTGGGGGCCTTGAACTCGTCGCCGTGGTGCTCTGGGCGACAAATGTCCTGGAAGGATGCCTGGTAGTGGAGGTCTGCTATGTACTGCCTCTCTATCATCGTCATGTGTGTGGGGTCCAGCACCATGGCCTGGGTAAAGCCATCATAAGACAATACACATTGCTCGCCCCCTCAGCATGAACTCCACGTGCGGGCGGCTGCGCTTACTCCCTGGGATGACGTGGGAGAAGGTGGAGTAGAACTCCACGTAGAGCTCGCAGTCGATGAGCTCGTCAATCATTAGGAGACGATGCCACTCGGGATGACTGAGGACCCCCGACATCGTTGCCCGACACCGGAACATGTTGAACACGTCCAGGTCCAACCCCCAATGAGGCCCCGCCTCGTTGTACCTCCACTGCTGGAACTTGGTACCATACTTCTTGTGGTTCACCATGTAGTGAACATATGCGTGATTTGCGTCAACCATCCTGCAAAATATCCAAGACATACACCATACGTGGAAATATCTGTCAATCTCACATCAAAGGGGAGAAAATATCCCCCCACACTTAGGATTCCACTAAGGTCCTAGACTTTTCACAAGACCGGATTTCAAAAATTCAAGCACAACCACGAATGAAACACATTGAGACAGAGTTCTAGGTGATTCAAGGTTTATCAAAATAACGCATCAAACCTATACCATGCCTCGACGGCCACCAACCACCATTCACAAAAGTGAATTCAATCAACATTCAAACATAATGCACTTGGTGGGCAATTCGCTTAATTTATTACAATTTATGCAAAACAGGCCCACCAAGTCCACTTGCACATCATTCAAACTAACCTATTTGACCAACCCCTTGCCTAATTTCATTTATTCAAGCAAAATTAAATCAATTCTCCTCACCTAAGAACTCTAACCCAATTCTTCAAAAATGACAAAGTAAAGGATTGAAACAGACCTGAAGACGCAACTAGGGTCGAAGAGGAAGGTGAGAAGGAGTCGAGGGTGCCCAAAAATCCCAGAAAATAGGTCGGAGAGGCTCGCTAGAGTGTCGCCGGAGACTCGCCTGAGGCTCGTCGGAAAATGCCCTCCCCGAAAAAAGTTGAGCCAAATTGGCTCAAAACTTAGGCGAAGGGGCTCCCGGAGGTGGGGATTATGGGTATATGTTTTCGGTTTTTAAAAAGAGTGGCCGGAAGTCGCCGAAATAGATTAGGGGTTCACGCCTCTTTTATAGACCGCAGTTCACGGATGGAAGCATAGCGACCGTGAACTCGGGTGAAACAGTGTGTTTCAAAGACTGTTGGATCCTTCCTCGTTCACGATCTCCGGCCTTTTATCACGGTTGCTAAGACCGTGAATTGAAGGCAGAAACCGTGAACTGAGTAAAAACAGAGCATTTTCCTAAAAAATTTGACTCGATCTACTCAACTGTGTCCCTAATTCGATCACAACACATCCCACAAGACGCAAACACACAGACCCGGCACGGTGTTACCCATTCTAACACTTGAACTCTTCATACAAACACAAAAAGAGAAAATAAGGAAAAGAAAACAACCCGTCGTTGGGTTGCCTCCCAATAAGCGCTAGTTTAACGTCACTAGCTCGACGTTGCAGATCTATCATGCTTGAGAGTACGAAGCCACCGTGAGTGGATTTGCCACGGTATCGGGGGCAAGTTTTGTCACCTCCCAACTTAGCTCCATAGGGTGGACTTCCTGGGATTTCGTAACGCGACCAGAATGAATGATGCATTCATGATCAAAATAGCATGGCGTCCGTTCACTGGACCAGAGAGCTTGTGGACAAAAGACATCAGAGGGAAGTATCTCAGGCCAATGGAAAGGGGTTGGCAGTCTAGAGTCTGTGGCCGTCTATCCAACATTTGGGGGGGTGGGGGTATTGCGAGTTCTCCTTTACGTGTTGGAGGGGACTATATGGAATGTACGGTGTGGCATGCAGACCCGGTTCTGGTCGGATCGTTGGTTGCAGGATGGCCCGCCGCTTGCAGACTTTGCAGAGAACCTTCAGGCGGAGGCGAGAGACTTGATAGGTACTGAAATGGTTCTGAACGGCCAATGTAACTTGGATTTCATAAGAGCTTTCCTCCCAGAGTCGCTGCTCTCGCACCTTCATCTACACCCAATACCCTTTGAGGATGGCCCCGACATTCCCACTTACTAGGGAGGATGAGAATCAGACTCTGTATAGCCCGGTTTGGAAAGCTACATTGGAAAATTCTGGGGCCACGGCGCACCAAACCTTTGTTGTGGTTGGTGCTCCATAACCGGCTGCTGACGAACGCAGAGAGGCTTTGTCGTCACTTGGGGCAAACGGATAAGTGTCCCATATGCGGAGGAGGGCCGAAAACCTTTATCCATGTAATGTGGGACTGCGTTTATGCTCGCGATGTGTGGTCTCATTTCTTAGCAAGTGAGCTTGATCGTGACTTCTTCTAGCCAGATGTTACACGCTGGGGACTTCACTACTTAGACGGATCGCAGTTTTGTTGTGGACACTTCAACCTTCGCTCTCATCTGCTGGCAACTTTGGCAGAACTGTAATGCATGGGTCTTTGAGAAACAATTGGCTCCACCAGCGCACTTGGCCGAACGAGTGAAAGAACTAAGGAGTCAGGTCTCTTTGGCTTTTCAAGCTGCACAGAGTTTCATAGGCGAGGAAAACCGGAGATCTCTTATACATATTAGCTGGCAAAGTCCGATGGAAGGGTGGGCAACTCTTAATACAGATGGTCATGTGATTCTGGCTCAAGATAGCCAAACCAAAACAATAAAGAAAAAAAAAACAAATGAAAACAAAAAATACGGTAGCTAGAGGGTTTCTATAAATGCTTTTATTGATCATTTAGAATGGATATTTTTGTGTGTTATTTATACACAATTCCCATCAAGGTTGTCAAACCGGTTTATGCGAGTGTGCCGGTTTAGCAAGTGGAATGGTTCAACCGGTGGCACATACCGGTTCATGCCGGTCAATATTACAAATAAAATTATAAATACTCATATGTAAACATGACATTTAACGTCAATACATAAACATTTATACTTGAATCCAACAAATAACATCAATATTTAATTTTATACTCATAAAATAAATAATAAAATAATTTTTATCAATTAAATTCTCTAAAATAAGATCATTTTATTTAGAGATTCGTATATCGATCATGCCGGTCATATCAGTAGTGTCACGCCGATTTTATGACCGGTACCGGTTGAACCCGGTACAACCGGTGGCACGCCGGCCGGCCTGACAACCATGATTCCCATATTATGTGGGATTTTAGCATAAATGTTATATTTGGTTGGAAAAAGAGAAACATGGTGAAGTGTGTTTTTCTTCAAATACTACAAATTTGGTAATTTTTCAAATACCACAGGAAGATATTAGTATTTGTTAAATACCATGATATTATATTATTTATTTCCATTATATCTTTTCTATTTTCATTTGCTAAAAATACTCTTGTTTTTTCTTCCATTGATAGTTTTTTTCCGGTCAAATCTTGATGTAAACCTTTGATCTTTCATCATCAGCTCGTCTATGGTTTCCAATGAATAACGTTTTTTCTTTTTCTTTTTATTTATTTCTCAATTGTTAGCCAACGATATATGCACATTAATAACCATGATCATCTTCAATGTTCTCACGCTCTCATTTGTCGCTTACATCACCGAAGAGAGATAAATGAATATTTAAATAATTTGGAATGAAATAGCACAATCACAATACCACACTTTCTAATCCTATCCAAACATCATATTTGATGAAATACCATATACAAATGCATTATGAAATGCTGTAATTGTCAACAAACGTGGATATAGAAGATACCGAAATCCATCGAAAACCCCACGGCCCGCATCTTTCTGTTTGTCCCTCAACGATCCACAAAGAATGATTCAACAAGCTATCACTTGAAGCTATCAATCAATTCAATTAAAGAGAGCTCACCTAGAAACACCCTGATAATAAAAAATTACAACAAAATCAGACAATACCTGAATTTCACTTTATTTTTCTTAGTATCGTAATGTTTTTCTCCCTGCCAAAATGAATGACCTCGGTTCCTATTTGACAAACTAGATTTCCCTTCTTGACTTTTCCAGTTTTCCCATTTGACAAACTGCAATCCTGATTCCAAAAAAAAAAAAGGTGAAAACCTTCCTACTTTTGCGGTACGGAAATTGGAAGAGGAAACAAAAATATTATACATGTAAAACTACAAAAATCATAAACCACTCAACCAGAACCAACCTAGAGAAGGAAAGAAAAAGTGGACCAGTACATTCCAAGTTCCTGCACTAGACAGATTGAAGAACCGTCAAGAAATACGGATACCCTGAGCAACTCCCCGACAGTTTCCTCATCTCTTCAGGATTCCTTTCCTTTGCCTCCAACTGATTGCCACCGCCATCCTTTCTCAGGTTCCAATTCAAAACATAGCTCGACAGATCATAAGTGCCGGGGGAGAAGACACATATTTGCATTGGAACATCCGTGGAGGAACAGGGATCAAGCTGGACGTTACTGCAACTTGAGCCGGACCAGATGAACGGGGAAACCGGGGAGGCGACAGGTTCCGATGACGGCAACTCTGCCGAATTCCCGGCTACAGCTCCAGAAACTTTAGGTGAAGCGACCTTAGTGTCTGCAACCACAGGCTGCCATCCGCGTGGCGAAGGTAGTGCATCTGATTGGCCTGCAGAATCAGCCGTGTTGATGCTTATAGATGCAATTACATCTGACGAGTTGTGGATGGTCATCCGCAGACTTATCTCACAGAACGAAGATGAAAAGTTGTGGTATTTGGTTCGAGGTCCATTCATTGTCCAAGATATTGGGCTTGTGCTAGCGGTTCTGTAGAAATGCACGTAAGACAAGGAAGATAAACACCATGACTTGTGAAACTCAATGATACTTCTGTTCAGATAAATTATCAGCATTTAAGGATGGGAGCAAGGAGTATTGCCTGCAGTAACACGCATGATGGGAGAAGAGTTGGGGTTGATCAGAAGCTTCTTCTGAATTCCTATCAGATTTTAGTGGCCGAGAAATCAAGATGAAGTCCACCGTATTGTCATCTTCCTGATACATGGAAGGGAAAGCCACAAGAATACAGTAAATACTAAATAGTCAAAAGAAACCCTAGACAACTTGTCCTATGCATAGATTGATGATACAACTAATCAAGTAAATCTCAATGGCCTTAGTTACAGAGTTCTAATGTCAAATCAAAGTGTGTGGGGATAAAGAAGAATACCAACCTGATTACGGATTCCGTGTTGTGATCTTTCGGAATCATGGAAATCGGACAGAGGTGAGTGGGTTATGTTAACAAGGGGCTCTTTCAAGCTCTCAGGGCACAATCTGACATCACTTTCGATATCAGGAAAGAGATCAGGGACATGACCTGCTGCATCCACCAATGATTGCCTACGACTCTGGAATCAGAACCCAAGATTCAGACATAACATATCCCTTAAAAGCTATATCCGAATTAAAATGTACGTGATTAGGACAGTCGAGATCGACCACATTTCTTAGATGAAACACCGAGGGAAGAGAATGAAAAAGGAATTGAAAAAATCAAAATTTACTTTATTAGCAGATGAAGCCCTCAAATTACGATTAGTTAGTTGCTTGAATCAGACATAACATATCCCTTAAAAGCTATATCCGACTTAAAATGTACGTGATTAGGACAGTCGAGATCGACCACATTTCTTAGATGAAACACCGAGGGAAGAGAATGAAAAAGGAATTGACAAAATCAAAATTTATTTTATTAGCAGATGAAGCCCTCAAATTACGATTAGTTAGTTGCTTGACAACCTAGGCTGTTAGGTGAACTAGAATAACGTAAGAAAAAGATTAAACGGTCGAAGAATTAACTAAAGTAGTAACTTCGCAGACCCACCTTGAGCATAAAGAAAAATGAGAATGCCTGGCCAACAGCCAAAGATTGTGAAGGTATGATTCCATCAATCGTTTGAAGCCTTGAAATTCCCCAGTTGTCTCCAACGGAAGACAACTGGCTGACCTGGAAACTCTGTGAAGTAGCTTTATTGACAACATCCATCCGCACGAGGAACTCTTGCAATCTTGAAGGGCAAGGACTGATTTTAAACGAAACATCCAATGATGGAAACACCTATATTAAGAAAACTAGCATGTGTCAAGACATAAGCGGAGGGTTTTATTCATCATCAAATTTGAGAAGTACATATGCTCAAAGAATACGAAGACCTAGGGAGGAACTAAGAAGGGAAAAAATACATGTGCACACCAGCTTTTCACGTAAGATGCCAACTCCTAGCTTATTTTGGTACACCAACATACAATCGAACCAAGTTTATTTTGGTACATCAAAAGACAATCAACCAAGGTAACATCAAAATATAACAAGATGACAGTCATTGGATTCAAGATGCAATGGTAATTAGCAGATGGCACTCATATGGGAGTCAAGACGATGCACATATTGGATTCAGGACTTGATAGTATTCACCAAATCTGTACCAAGAATACCTAGTACATGAGTTTTATTCAATTCCATTAGTCATCTATTCATTATAGAACATGTCGTCAAATGTACAGGGTCACTTTTAATTGACATAGTCACCTAATAATAATGTATGCTTATAATCGAACAAAAACGCCATAGATGTTGTCTCTATAGTCTATATATATATATATATATATATATATATATACGGATACACTGATGACAGATATACATACAACCACACAAATTATATAAATCACAGTCGTCCTGTGTACAATGAGCTTACCTGCAAGTTATAGTGCAACCGCAGAGTACGGTATTTCATCACACTAGATGTATCCTCCATCTCATAGTATATTATTATGTATAGCGGGACACTTTCAGGAACAGCAGCACGAAGCCAAAGGGGCCACAATAATGGCTTGTCTCCTTTTATTGCAACATCCTGAAGCATCAATTAAGATGTAATGCACATCACTAAAATTATCTTAATTCAGATTGATAATCATGTGCCAGAAGACAAGGAAGAAGCGGTACTAACCTCGGGAAACAGGAAAACACCTTCAGACGGCTTCTTTAGATTAGCATGTGTGCCACTTTGTTTGTTGTCTGGTCGCTTCTCTAAGCAAGCAGGAAAATCCACATGGGGAACTTCTTTATTCCCTATACTAAGGAATCTAGGATGACTTATCTTCATCTTGAGATTCTGTCAAGGTGAGTAGGCATGTTAGCCACTTGAAATGACTGCAAGTGCATCTAACCGGCTGACAGAAGCATGGTTTGCTAATAGTGAAGAAGGTGCCTATCATAACAGGCCATACATTACTGTCCATATAAGCCAGTTTTCATATGAGTTGCATTTGCGTACAAACTTAAGAAAATCTAAAGAAGGTTGAGCAGGTAGGTTTCTCACATTGCTGTATTTATTAAAAGCTTCCATGATATCATTCAGTGGGCCTTTCTACTTTGTAAGTTATATAATTTAGTTGCAATCTATATGGAACCCAAGGAACCAGGGGGTTTGGTATTGTTAAACTCAAGTCAGCCAGTATAAACACAATAACATAGTTACCAACAATAATGCAAAAAAATAAAACAACCTTTATAGAACAGTCTGATTGGTTCTTCAACTCCAAAATGAGAGGCTGTAGATGTCCAGCATGTGCCTTTTCTGGAAAAGCATGAATGTGACCCTCAAGCTTTGGTACTGGCTGCATATAAAGAGGTTACAGATTCAGAGTAGACAGAGTCTGAATAATGCAGTAATATAATATTTCAAACAATATTTTCCCTTCATTTCTGTTGGGTTGTGGAGGATTGCTTCACCTTGACTACTACAAACTTCAGATCATTGAGAGGTGATTGCTTCGCTTTCCTCTTCCCCCTTGTGATTTTCTTCACCAAAAGTATGGACTCAAAAGTGTAAAACCCAACAACACACCCTGAAAATTTCCACCTGACACCAACAAGTTTGAGTGTGCCTTCCATTTTAGGAGTAACTGTCAGTTCCACCTGAATAGGCCAAAAAGAAAACATTAACCCAATAAACATAATAAGGTGTATGTTACCAAACTAGCAGAGGAAAACAGCAGCAACCTAACATTAGTTGCGCCAAGTTTTTCTCAGACAGTTTTAGCCTGGGATTGATAATGACTGAGAAATAAAGTTTTGTGGCTCATATGAGTATGGTATGCAAGGATCACACTTAACGCAGGGGGGTTTAGAACATCAGTAACACTCTCAGTGTTTAATGTGCGACTGAAAAATAAATATAGCCATTAGAATACTTGAGCTCTCCAGTTTTTGTTTCAAAAATATCCAGGCACCAACTCCATATAGTTTCTAAAGTGGAAAACATAATGTTCATCAACTTGGAGACTCAGACATGCCACTTTTGAAAATACCATGATGATCAGCCTAATGGTGGAAATGGAATACAAGGGAATCAAACAGAAAGTGGCACAAAGGAACCCCAAAGAGATCTAGCAATACCAAGATACAATGCTGGCATTGTATTTAGAAGTTTTCCATTACAGATTAACGAAGGTGGAAAACAAGCTGATCATACGTGAGTAAGATGGTTTAGAAAGAATCCATGCTAGCAATACTTGAAACAGTTCGACAAAATTCAGAGGGGACCAGAAAAGTTGAGGAATTCTCCTTGTATGTGAGTAAGATGGTTTAGAAAGAACTCACCAACTTCTTCTCACCACCGCCTAGTGAGAAATCAATCTCAGACAATATAACTGAAGCACTGTCAGACATCACAACCCTGTAGGCATTCAGCAGCAGTAATTTAGTAGCCACCAGAAATCATTGGCTTTTAAGCTTAACTATCATGAGACTAAGTTGAGAAAAAGACCCAACTGTGCCAAACCTTTGATGGTCTTCATCATTTTCAAGTTCAGAGGTCGAGGCATTCGTGTCTACAATACCAAAAGGTATAAGAAAAAAACATTGGATCTGAATGAACTTCATCTGCCAACTTCAACAAAGGGGATGAAGATAAGGATATTGGAAACAATGACAACAACTAACCAGATTTATCTTCCTCTGATTGTGAAAGCTCGCATATCAAAGACACATTTGAGATGGAGATAGGGACCTGCAGTGGGTTCGTAAATTCAACAACCACCTTTATTGCCTCTGCAAATAGTAAGAGACAATATGTGAATGGTAGGAAATCATCCATCTAACAACTTCTTCCCCAATAGCTCAGGGAAATGACCACCTATGCTATGTTCCTGTTCCCGAGGAAGGAAACCTCTAAAATTAAATAGAGAAGTTACAGTTTATCAAGTCACCTTTCATACTTGCCTAAGAATGTTAATAGGTGAAATATATCAGAAGATAAGTAACACAGCTTCAGCAGAATACCATCACCTCCATACCTCCAGCCACACAGACATTTGATTCTCTGAGTCTCTTTGGCATAAGCTTTGTTTGCACATCCAGCCAGTTAGTCCTAGCACCAGGCAATGAGGGAATCAAATCCTCCTCTAATGATCGCCACAAACTTTCCTTGACACTGGCCTGGACATACAAACAGAACAATCTGGTTTACTTTCAAGGTTCAACTAATATGAAATATCTAAACTGGTACGCAAATGCAGGTCCCAAAAACAGAATCTGGAGGCTATAAGACCAAAACTGAAAGATGCAAGCGAAAACTCCTGTTCCTTTCAAGGTTGCTGTATGTTTGCAAGAGGAACGAATATGCATGTTTTTTGTAATTTAATTTCTTTATAAGAGGCTCTTTTCTGCCTGCCCGTTCAACTTGATTGCCTATCCACCTCTACTAAAATAAAATAAAGTACAAAATGATCATGTACAGAGTGCTTCAAGACACACTGAATACTACTTGGTTTTCAAAAACCAGCTTGTAAAATACGAATGAGACTCTTAACTACCGGAATCGCCATTTTCTGAAGCTCAGTCAAGTCACCCTTGGCCATCTTTTTTCTAGATAAGGATGATATAGGTTTGTTTTCATTATAAACTGCTACTTGAGGGATTCAAACCTGAGACCTTATTCAAGATTAGTGGTAGTACCACTAGACCAAGCTCTTGTTCGCCACCCTTGGCCATCTTTACATAGCAACAAATATAAAATTTTGCTCCATTGTGCATTAAGTGACTTTACAAGTTTCCACTCAATCAGAAAGTAGATGTATACGACCTATGTAATTTAAATTCCATAGTCAACACTCTGGCTCTATATCACCCAACCGAAGTACACAGGGAAGCAAGCAGAACACTGGCTGAAAAATGCATCCAAATGGGTCAAGGACTTGGTGGACGAGACATACAGATGTAAGAGCTAATTTTGAGAAATGTTAATAGATAACTAACTGACAACTTGAATATACCACAGGATATGATGCGTAGGTCCGCTGGTCTTCAAAAACAACCTTGAGTGATGAGATGTCAATCACAGGCAACTGAAGTCCTGGAACCTCAAATGTCTTGCCTGCTTCCTACAGTATCCAAGAATGAAACAAGTCGGATCAGGAAAAAGGTTCAGAAAAGCAATTGGCGGGATTGAGATAGGACAATGTCTTTTCAGTTAAACCGTAGTGGACCAAATACCAAAGTGAGTCAGATGCGATGATAACGAAATCACTTTGATTTTCATATTTTCCTGATTTTCA